GGGCGGGCGGGGGCGACAGGGCGGGGGCGGGAGGCGTTGGAGCGCCTGCAGCTCGCCGGCCAGCACCGTCAGCTGCCGCCGCTGGGCCGATTGCCGCCGCAACAGCTCCGCCACGACGGCGAGCACCACGACCGCGATCGCCAGCGCCACGCCCATCACCCAGCGGCGCTGCTGCGCCAACTGCTCGCTCGCCTTGAGTTCGGCGTTTTCCTTGTCCTTGGCGGCGACCTGGTAGGCCGTTTCCACGCGCTGGCGGGCCTCTTCATTGGCTTTGGCAATCCGTTCGAGGGTGGCCTGGCGGGCGCGGCTGATCTTGTCGAAGGCCGCGGCGTGCTCGCCCAGGGCCGACAGCGCCTGGGCCTGGGCGGTCAGCAGGTCTTCGAGCAGGTTGGGCGCGTTACGCAGGCGGGGCAGGAAGGTGTCGAGGGTGGCGATGTCTTCCCGGGCGCCGGGCATGCCGCCCTTGGCGCGGCACACGGCGGTGGAGTAGAGGCTGTCGATGCGCAGCCACTCCGAGTAGGTGGGCGCCGTCAGCACCGCCACCGATTGCACGCAGTCCTGCCACTGCCCGAGTTCGCGGTGGAGCCGGCCTTCCGCCACGCGGGCATAAGGCAGCACTTCAAAGCCGGGCTTGCGCGTGACGGCCTCCAGCGTCGCCCGCAGCACCTGCAGCGCCTGCCGCGGTTGGCCCGACTTGCGGAGCACCCGGGCCTTCCAGACCGCGTAGCTGAGGGACAGGTACGGCAGCTCGTCCGCGTCGACGGTCTCGGCCTGCGCTTCGAGGTCGGCCAGCAGCCGTTCGGCCGCGTCGGCGCCATGCAGGCTGATGAAGCGGCCGTACACCTGAGACTCCACGAACACCTGGTGCTTCAGCAGCGGGTCGCGGGTGCGGTCCAGCGCCTCCTGCGCCAGCAGCTGGGCGCCCGTGGCATCGCCTTCCGCGCTGAGCAGCACGGACTGCGCCGCGGCCACTTCGGCGCGCAGTGCAGCGTGATCGAGAGAGGCCGCCTCACGCGCCGCCCGTTCGAGCAAGGCGCGGGCGCGGGGCAGGTCGCGTTCGCCGAACTGCCACCAGGCAAGCCCCAGCAAGGCCGAGAC